ATAAAATTTTTTGATGAGGTTGAATTTTTTATGGGATTTTGGTGACTTTTCCAGAAACCGTTGGATTTTTTAGTTTTCGATTGAACTTTTTAGCGATTTTTTTAGAAACTAATAAGTTATCCAGTTTTCGGTTGAAAAATTTCTATAGTGTTCTTAGTTGGGTTTTAAAGAGAAGTCAGAGAGAATTCAGCTAGAGAGAGAAAGGGGAAGAGGCTTTTGAGCAAAAAGGTTCTGAACCTGACTTATATATTGCCTCTGCATGACATTGTTTTGGGTGACTTAAGATCTGCATGAACTTGAGTTAAGATTCGCGCGTTGACCCGCTTCGACCCGACTCGAATCACAAGGTTTAATTTTTCTTTTTTCATTTTATTTTTAGATTTCATTTCATTTCATTTTTTAATTATTTTTAGTTTTATAATTTTACTGGTTTTTATATTTTTTATTCAATATTAAATAATAATAAAAAAAATCTTTTTTTGAGGAACAGTAGAAGCCAGATTAAAAAAAAAATGTTTTTTAAAGTTTTCAAAAAAATATTTATAAAAGCAAAAAAATCCTTTCAATAAAAATAATAATAAAATCTTTTTCAAATAAAATCTTTACAAAATAAATTTATGAATTCTATCAAACTATTGGAGAATTTTCATAGATTTAATTTTTAAATAGAATCTACCAAACTATTGAAAATTTTCATAAACCAATTTTTTAAAAAATAATAAATAAAAAATAATTTTTATCCTCTAAACTATCGGAGGATTGTTTCATAAATTAAGTCTTACCAAACTATTGAAAAACTTAATGAAATTCTTAAAAATTTTTACAAATCATTTGGTAATAAAATCTCATCAAATTATTGGGAGATCTACTTCAAAATAAGTCTTACCAAACTATTATGAGACTTTACTGATTTTTTGAATAAAATATTATAATAAATCTGATGATGGAGCCTCTTTAGAGTGGGATACTAATATTTATGGATACTCCTGAGGTAAAAAAATTATTTTAAAACTATTGAGACAATTTTAAGATTAATTTTCAATACTAAATATTTTAACAAAACATAAACATTTTTTAGATTTGGATAATTTGAAATCAAACTAGTATCATCTTATAGATGAATGTTGTGGGAGTGCTATAATCTTCCTTACGCCTAACTGTACTCCTGAACCTAAAATCTGATTTCGTGGATCAGAATCTGCTTCAGGCGACCAATCACACCTAAACAAAAAAAATTGGTGATAACTCTTCTAATCCATATCTAACGATAAATCTACAGATCTATATGTTATGACAGGTTGCAGCAGATTATATTGAACTTAAGACATATAAGAATATATGACAATCAACTAATCTTAATTCACATATTCCCTTTTTTTTTTTTTTCATTTTTTCTTTTACACTTTTTATTTTCTTTTTGTTGTCCATTTTTTTTCTTCTTTCTTCTTCTTCACTTTATTCTTCTCATTTTTTTTTACCTTCCATATTTTATTCTTTCACTTTTTTTTTGTTTCTTATTCTTTTAATTTGCCTACACTCTTTCTTTACTTTTGCTTTAATTTATTTATTCTCCCAAACTTTTCTTTTGTATATGTTTTCTTTATCATTTTTGCAATGTTTGCATCATTCTTTTACTATTTTTTTGTCTTGATAATTTTGGTTCTCTACTTCTCTTACTTTTTCCTCTTTTCTTTATTCTTAATAGCTAAAGTTAAATTTTTTTTCCATTGTTTACCTTCTTTTTTCTTTACTCTATCACTCTTTGTTGCTCTTTTTTCTCTTTTCCAAATTTTCTTTGTTGTTTCTTTTTTTTTTTTTCATTTTTCTTTAACATTTCTTTCCTTTTTTTTACCCTTCTAGTCTATATGTTTCTTTCCATTTTTTTTTCTTTATTCTTAATTCTTCACCTTTAGTTCCCTTATTCTCGTTCTTTTTCACCATTTCCTTTAGTCTATGCTACTGATATTTGCTATGATAGTTTTTATTTTTATTTTTTTTATACTTGATATTATACCAAAATTTGAATTTTAATTATTAGAACTAAGAATCCAGTACTTTATCAACAGACCTTAAGACTTTTACTTTCTTTTGATAGATAAAATTCTTTATAACCAGATTCCATTCAATAAAAATAAGTAATCGAGGTTTTACATTTTTATACCATCAGCAAATTGATGCATACCTAGATCAATTGTGGCTGTCACAAAAATATTAAAAAATTTCAAATGCTTTTATTGATCTTTGTGGAATAGAATTTTAAAAAAATTTCTTATTTTGTTTCCTCTTGCATTTCCATAACTTCTACTAGATATGATGCTATTATAGCATATGCCAAAATGGTTTTCTTTTTGTTTTTGATTAACCTGCGGTGATAATTATTGATTATTAATTTAATTATGGAAATACCCAAATAAGCCCTCAAATTTTACTAAAAAATGAAAATAAGTCCATGATATTTTATTGCATGAAATCAAGGCTATAAATTTTTATTTTAATGTAATTTGATCTTTGGTAGTGTGAAATATTTAATTTTTTAGTTTAATGATTTAATTTGTAGCAAACGCTTGCTTAGATTTATTTGGATGAGTTGAATAACAAATATTTTATGTAATGCTATTCTAAAAAGTTTTTCGTTTGAACATTATTCATTCATCTTAATATCTAATGGATATAATTACAATAAAATAAAAGTTTATAATCTTAATTTCGTGTAATAAAATTCAATGACTTATTTGCATTTTAAAGTAAAGTTTGAGAGTTTATTTGAATATTAAGTTATTTAATTATTACTTATAAATTATAATTTAGTTTGGCATTGGGAGGATTTACAATCCCATGTTTCATGTTTTTGTATGAACTTTTGGCAAAGTTTTCTGATTCATAACCTTTTTCTCTTAGTTGTTCTTATTTCAATCCTAGAACTCATTTTAATGTTGTTTAGTCCTCTGTTGCAGTGTAAAAGAAGTTTTAAAAAATTTATTACGAGTTCTTTTGCATTTTCTCAATGCTTCTAATATCTTACAAAGTTTATTTCTGGGGTTCTTGCTGTTGGAGTTCCCTAGGTAGTTCTTTAAGCCAACGAACAATGACCTTACAAATAAGTTTTTTAAATAAAAAAATTCCATGCATATCTGAAATGGTTATTTTTCATTTACTAAATTTGAAATTTAAATTGATAAATTTTGTGCCATGCTTTTTTATCTGTAATCTGTAAAGTTTAGAAAGTGTAAATGCATAATATAAGAATGAATCATTCCTTCCAACACTAACAAATGTGTTATTTATATAGTTTTCAAGTTGTCATGACTTTTGTTATATTCTTTGAGGTTAAATTGGGCTGCTTCTCCTGACATGTATACATGAAAATAATCATCAATGTAATATGAAATTTGTCAATGGGGCCTGTTAGTATGAGAGAAGCCTAGGTTTCGATAAAACCTGATATTATCAAGGATATGATTTCTTGCTTAAAAATGACAAGAAACTCCCTAAATCATTAGAGGAGATTGAAGATGCTTTTCATCGTCAGATTTCACTAAAAGCAAGTTTAGAGGTAGAAAATCGAGAAAAAGCAGAAACACGAAGAAGAACAAGTTAGGATGGTGATTTTTAAAATAGAAGAAAAATTTTGTGTGAAGAAGCAAAATTGACTTGGGATTTAGGGAATAAGCATATTTCATATATATATATATATATATAGTATGCATATGTATTATTTTTATTTCAAATTTTATTTTTCAATTTAGTTTTTTATGTTGTCAAACATGTAATATATTGGTATATGAAATTAGTCTTTTTTTTTCAGTAACATAAATTTGTTTTTTAACTTGATAATTACCTCATATATTTTTATATACACATATACTCTCACACAAATAGAAGGAAGGCACCCAAAGTAATTAAAGGAGAATAATAAAGGATGATAAAGTTCCATGAAACTTGGTGTATAAACCAAGCTTAAAATGGCCAAAGCCAATTCCCCTTGCACGTAGCCTTGTACGAACAACAACACAGTGCAAAAAGACCACGAAAGAATACCCAAGCGAGCAAGCAAGCACTATATTCCCGAGCGAACCTTTCATTCAATCCCATCAGTAAATGAATTTCCTTCTCTTAATTAGAATAAGAATTACAAATTGTTCCTTTAACAACTTCTATAAAAAGGAAAACAAAAACGTGTACCTTGACAATTCTTTACTTAAGAAACTCAAGTATACCCTATTAATGCTTTTCAAGAACCACAGCCCAGTATCACATGATGCCAGTGAGGAAGCTTTTGTTCCAAAAAGAGAAGCCAATGAGCAAAGGTAGCCCATAGTGAATAATATTTATTAGCCTGTTTAGGCTTATCCAAAAAAAAAAACAAATTGTTTGCATGCTCGATTTAGGAAAAATAATAGATTGAAAAAGAAAATATGGTTCATGATATGAATGATAAAATAGAGTTGAATAATCTAATATATCATTCTCTGAAAAGTTTGATTAGTGGAACATTTGAAAAATACCATTAATAGTTGCTTTAAAAATTGAAGAAAAATAAATATGATTTGCTTCCAAAACTTAATAAATTGTTATTAAAAACTGAGAGGAGATTAATTTCATGTTTAATTATCAAATCATTAATTTTGTCTAGAATTATAAGTATGATTTCATGTTTGCTTGGTAGCTATCATAAGCTTTAGCTTTAATGTGGATGAAGACAAAAGATTGAATAGGTAAAATCTTTTGTAAGTGGTAGGAAAGCACAAGCTGCCAAAACAAATTTTTACATAAAAAAATTTTATTTGAGTTTTTAAATCCTCTACTTAAAACATCCATTCAATAGCCACGTGTGTATGCTCCCAAGTCTCAAAAGTGAGCCATGCACTTCCATTGGAAAAGTGCTAAAAGAATGGCTTGACTTTGTTTGTAAACTCTATTTTTATATAAATAATTGGCTCTTTCACTTTGTTGTGCTTAACAAGAGCGAAGTGAGAAGGAAAAGAGTGTAGAGGGAAGAAATGGGTCGACATTACATCCCACTAACCATCCCTTTTGGTTTAAAGGAGCTTTGGAATGAATGGAACATCCGAGGGCCTATTTTGTTCAGTCTCTGGCTGCAAATCGTGCTGATTTTTATGGCCCCACTCAGAAAATCCACAAGGGCAACATGGGTAATTTCCCTCATCTGGTATGCTTACTTGTTGGCGGACGTAACTGCCAATTTTGCTCTTGGTCTCATTTCCAACGGCCAACAGCGTAACCAATCCAACAATCCTGAGTCTAAACCCAAGGAGAGCAGTGATCTGTTAGCATTTTGGGCACCCGTTCTCATACTGCACCTTGGCGGTCCTGATACCATTACTGCTTTTTCTCTCGAAGATAATCAACTGTGGAAAAGACACTTGCTTCTCCTTATTTATCAAGTAGCAACAGTTTTTTATGTCTTCTCCCAGTCACTTCCCAACGAAAATTTATGGATCCCCACAGTACTCATGTTTATCGCTGGAATCATCAAGTACGTCGAGCGGACAGTAGCTTTGAATCTTGCAAGCTTGGACAAATTTCTGGATTCCATGCTCAAACAACCGGATCCAGGTGCCAACTATGCCATGCTTATGGAGGAATACGCTTTCAGGAAAGAAGCCGAACTTCCAGCTCGATTAATTCCGATGCCAGGGCCTGATGCAGAATTAGAGACTTCTGATGTTCCAACCGAGGGAAACAATTTGAATAATCTCGATGTGGTGCATTATGCTTTTAAGTACTTCCAAGTATTTAAGGGACTCGTAGTCGATCTCATCTTCAGCAATCGAGAACTTTATGAGAGTCGTAAATTCTTGATTGGGAAGACAGCTGAAGAGGCTCTGAGGATAATTGAGGTTGAACTCAATATGATCTATGATGCTCTTTATACCAAGGTGGAAGTCGTGAATTCTATTGCAGGCTATATTTTCCGATTCATAGCTTTTGGGTTGGTTTTTGCTACTTTGGGACTCTTCTATTTCCAAGCAAAGAAAGATGAATACCACGGAGTTGATATCAGAATCACCTATACCTTGCTCCTTGGTGCCATTGCCCTGGATGTAATATCCTTCCTCATGCTCATTTCCTCAGATTGGATATTTGCTTCCATTGGTCCACATTCTTTATGGGCTGCTCTCTTCTGCAATTTCCTTGCTCTCAAGAAGCCTCGGTGGCACCCTTGTAAATGTAAGATAAAGGATTCTGACAGTGAAAAGAATAATGCCAAGCATCATGTTTTGGCTAATCCCCTTGTGTGTAGAAGGTGGTCTGGATCCGTCCCAGCACACAACCTAATAAGGTATTGCCTAAAAAGCAGTTCGACTACAATCCATGAATTCCCCCGGTTTGTGCGAATTTTTGGGCTGTGTTGCCAATGGCAATTCCTTTAAGGGAAATGTTTTATTGTGCTGTTATATGAGGAAAGCAATTAGTTTTATAAGGACTATTAGAGAAAATGTGAATAAATTTTTCAGCTCCGTGATCAGAAAAAACACTATGCCCATTGAGGATTCTGTGGATAAGAGAATGAGCAAAGCAAGTAGTTTTATAAGGTCTATTCAAAAAACTCCTGTGTTCGGAAAATTCCCTATGCCCATTAAGGATTTTGTGGATAAGTTGACGTATGTGTCCAGTGAGCCATTCACTTGGGAGCTATGGGAATTTATCTTTGGCGAGCAAAAAGCTAAATCCGAGTTTGCAGATACTCCTGAAAGTGCCCAATGGGTATCCTCGGCCAGAGGTGATTGGGTTTTGGCAGATCATAGCAAGTTGTTGAAATATGTGACTGATGTTCAATATGATGAGAGCCTTCTCTTGTGGCACATTGCCACTGATCTCTGCTACAACACCGAAGTGATGGACAGTTCATATCGTGAATTCAGTAAGATTCTCTCGGATTAGATGCTGTATCTTCTAGTTTTTCAACCAACCATGATGTCTGCTGCTGCCGGTATTGGAAGAAAAAGATTTCGAGACACTTGTGCTGAGGCTGAAAGATTCTTTCAGAGTCGGAGTTTAGGACCAAATGAAGACAGGAAAGCCTGTGAAGCAATTCTTTCAGTGAATACGGATTATGAACCTGTGACTGTGAAGGGAAACAGAAGTAAATCTGCGTTGTTCGATGCAAGCATGTTAGCCAAAGAGCTAAACAGAATGGAAATCGAAGATGGTGAGGAGAAATGGAAGTTATTGAGCAAAGTCTGGGTGGAATTAGTTTCATATGCGGCAAATCATTGCAGAGCAAGTGCACTTGCAAAAGAGGTAAGCAATGGTGGAGAGCTTATTAACTTTATTTGGTTGTTGATGGCTCATTTTGGTATTGGGGCACAGTTCCAAACCAGCGAAGGACATGCAGGAGAGAGATATTATGGGAAAGTAGACGATATGCATCACACTAGTTATGTATCTCTCGAATGAATTGTAATCTACGGAAGTAGCTTAAATTATTGTGTTTTTTTTTTTTTTTTTGCTGCTGCTTGCTCATTAGTTTCCTTCTAGACTATTATCCTGATTTGCAAGAAATATTTAAAGAAATTAGTACCAGTAATTAGTATTCTTTTTTCATGCTTACAAATTACAATTCTCACATATATAGCACAACACATTGCCACTTTCTAGATGTAATTAGTGAGGAATAATAACAAGGAATAAAATCCATAATTAGGAAAAATGAAAATAAGGAGAAATTCGGTTTTAAACCCTAATTCCAGCAGGAGAAGTGATTACCTATATATGCTAATGTGCCCTTAAAAAATGATAAATTAAATATCATGTTTTTCTTGAGACAGAAAATTAAAAAAAAAACAGTTTAGTTTGAAATTATGTCAACTTTTTTAATTTGAATTCTATGTAATGAACAATTAATTAGTAGGACTAATAAAGTTGGAATGCCTATAATATGTGCACATCTCGTGCTTGTAATTTGGATTCACTGGAAGGCAAAAAAAATGTTTTCTTTCATTGAGATCCCAAAATTCATTATGTAACAAAATGTTACTAAACTTAAAGTAAAAATGTTATTAGAAATGTTTATAATATAATATTTATAATTGATATTTAGGATTTACTACTTGGAAGTTTGGAAGTTAGAATAAGAATAATTTCTGATTTTGGTACAAGAATAAGAATCACTTTGTACTTTAACCATTTTTTTCTTTCCTTGTTTGATGATATAAAAAATAATTCTTTAGAATAAGAATAACTTCTAGATTTTGTTAGAAGAATAAGAATGACTTTGTACCTTAACCATTTTTTTCTTTCCCTGTTCGATGATAAAAAATAAAAAATAAAAATTCTTTTCGTGCGTCAACTCAATTAAGTTTATAATATTCGTAATGTAACGAAATGGATTTTTTTGAATAGGCTGCATGTGACGTCACATTAGAGGAACAACTAGCAAAAAAGAATTACCAAAAACAAGTTGGCATCTTTAATTTTTTTTTAATTCACTGTGCTTCTCTTTAGAAACAAATATATATATATTATTATATGCATTAAACTTTTCACAAAATAATGTAAAATTTTCCTTTTATTACCATTTATATTTATTTAATCTATAGTCTAATCAGTATATTATTTACTCAAAATATTCTATTCAACTTTGCATTAATTAACTTATATACAAAACTTTTTTTTAATTCTTTATATAGTATAATAATATTTAATATTTTTTATAATATGGAAATATGAGAAGTCCTAAATGCGAGGAAGGGAATAAGTGAATGACTCTCTCTTTTTCTTGACGTAAAGTTTGGAAATTCCAAATTTTTAGGATTTGCCTTTAAATTCTTAGAATGGAGATGAACAACCAGCTTTTAACCTGATAATCCTTCTTCCAGATCTCATACTCTTTCATTAATTTGCCCAGTAATCTCTTCAACCATGTTTTCGTCTAAATCTAAAGATGATTCATCACCGCAAAATGATCCTGCGGCGCCCTTATCCATTCAGAATTTTACCGAAGAATTATCCGGGTTGCTTAATCGTCTCCTCGATGCCAGCCATAAAGAAAAGTACACGCATAATCAGCTTGATTATGCATGCAAAGAATTCAATTATGTGATTAACGCATTTACGAAACTCAAGAGTTTTGAAGCTGATTTTTCAAAACAGCTCAAAACCCTTAAAGCTATTGTTGATGACATCCTAAGAGATCTACATGAAGCCTCTACTGACTCCGCAAAGCAACAGGATATTGAACGCAATCTTAAAGTGGTGATAACCAACATCAAAGAACTTAAAATCCAGATACCGGTCCAGCATCAAGTCATTGGTCCAGCTATCACATTTTCGGAGTCACTTGGGTATTCACAAACCGGAGTTACCAGCAAAAAAGTCAGTGACCTGCCTAATCCATACGAAGCAAATGCCATATTTGAGAGCGGACCTTTTCTCAAAGAATTTCGAGATCATTATGGGGGTCTTTGTACAAGCAGGAAACTGCGCTTGTTGTGTTTTGCAACTTTTCCGGAGAACGCAGAGGTTAAGAAGAGGCTTCTAAGACTTTGGTGGATTGGGGAACGTTTATGTCCAGTTCCAAATCAGAAGAACGATTTAGAGGTAAAATGTTTTTGTTCAGATTTAAAGGAAACTTTAGATGAATTTACGAAGATGGGATTCATTGAGCCTGTTGCTAAAAAGGGCAGATTGCCGGCTACGAGTTACAAGATGCATCCAATTATTCGTTCTTTCATCATCAAGCTTGCTAAGGAGGCTAACTTCTTTGATTACGACTTCAAGGGGAACCCTACCATGGCGGGCAAAAAGTCGTGTTTGGTAGAACCTAAAGAAACTTCGAAGCTAGAGCGAGTGCATGAGCTGCAGACATTGTTCAATATCAGTAAGCAACTTCTTAATTTTCCGGTGGAGCTGTTTTCCAAGATGAGAAACATAGGCGTTCTTCATCTAGGAAGATGGGAGAGCACGGCTGAACGCCGCATAGAAGTAGACAACACAAAATTCTTTACAGGGTTGGAGAATATGAAGAAGTTAAGGTTCCTTGGTCTTCGAGGAATCTTCGGAATCACGAAACTCCCAAAATCTCTTTGCAAGCTCACCAACTTGAGAATCTTAGATCTCAGAGTATGTTACGATCTGGAGGAACTACCAAACGGAATAGGTTCACTAAAGAAGCTGATTTACTTGGATTTATCTCAGTGCTATTTTCTAGACAAGATGCCCAAACAACTGTCCGAACTCTCAGAACTCAAAGTCCTCCAAGGCTTCGTAATCAGCAAAAATAGTTCATGTACTCTTGACAACTTGGCAAAGTTACATAAGCTGGAGAAACTCAGCATCAAAGTGGCAAGTGGAAGATTCTCAATAAATGACAATTATTTCTTTAAGTTTAAGGCGCTTAAGAAATTGAAAATAGAATGGGGAGCGGCAGCAGCAAGGTGGAGACGTTGGAACAAGGTGGACAATGGAGCAAAAGCCACGCAAAATGTAGAAGGCGAGCACGAAAAGCAAGAATCGGGCCACAAAGGTGAAAAATGCAGGAAAGTGGCATGAATCTAGCAAAGCTGGAGCTCATATGTTTCCCAGAAAGAGAACTACCAGTTTGGCTGGTCCCCAAGAAATTGACATCCCTGAAGTGTCTCTACATTACAGGCGGAAAACTCAGAAAACTGGGTGAAAGTTCTATGTCGTCTAACAAGAAGTGGGAGGTGGAGAATTTACGTTTGAAGATCTTGATTCATTTGAAGTTAAATTGGAAAGAACTTCAAACACAATTTCCAAAACTAAAATATTTGGAGAAAGTCAAATGCCCTCAAATCACATTCTGTCCATGCGATGCAAATGGAGTGTGGAATGATGTTGAAGCATAAGAGTTGCAAATTTCAAGAATCTGCCAGACATGGCAAAATCGTGAATTTACTTGCAGGTTATCAATCTCATTCATTATTATTGGTGGAAGAATACTGTAATTCATTTAATCAATAACATTCCATTAATTTTATTTATGTTTGCTTTCAGAATTGATTTGCTGTGTATATATATCGAAAATTAAAAAAGAGAAATATTAACATAATTGTCATTAATTTTTTCCTAATATTATTTCTAGAAATAATATTATCTCTACACATAATGAAGTCTTAATAAAATAGATCAAAATGCCTTTTTTTTTTGCTATTTATTGATCAAAGCTAATGAATTTTAATCTCCCAAAAATAACGTGTGCATCTCTCACGATTAACAATCTTTCTTAGGCATATGTATATATATAATATATTCTTGTAATAATTAAAATAATATGAAACATATATATCAAACAAGTACTGATATATGTTTTTCATTTGGATTAATAATAAAATAATTGAGTAAGTGGTGGCATCAGATTGTATGCAACTCAAGACATTTAAGAAAATATGACAATCAACTAATCGTAATTCACATATTTCTTCTTCTTTTTTTTTTTATTCTTTCTTCTACACTCTTTATTTTCTTTTTTCTTCTCCATTTTGTCTTCTTCTTCTTCACTTTATTTTTCTCATTTTTTTATCTTCCATATTTTATTCTTTCACTTTTTTATTTTATTCTTATTCTTCTAACTTGCATGCTCTTTTTCTTTACTTTTGCTTTAATTTATTCGTTCTCCCAAACTTTTCTTTCGTATATGTTTTCTTTATGTGTTTATGATGTTTGCATCAATTTTTTTTACCTTTTTTTTTGTCTTGATCATTTTGTTTATCTACTTCTCTTACTTTTTCCTCTTCTCTTTATTCTTAATCGTTAAAGTTTAATTTTATCCAGTTTTTATTTTTTTCTTTATTCCCTCACTCTTTGTTGCTCTTTTTTTTTTCCTTTTCCAAATTTTCTCTATTATTTCTTATTTTTTCACTTTTGTTTAACATTTCTTTCATTTTATTCTTTTCTTTTTCTTCTGCTCTATATATATATGTTTCTTTCCATGTTTTTTTATTCTTAATTCTTTACCTTTAGTTTTCGTATTCTCTTTTTTTTTCACCATTTCCTTTAGTCTATATTTGCTATGATAATTTTTTTATTTTCTTTTTTATATTTGATGTTACCAATTCTGATTATTAAAATTAAATGTTCAATATTTTATTAACAGATCACATTACTTTTATTTTATTTTAATAGATAATATTCTTTATAAATAGATCCCATTCAATGAAAATAAGCAATCGATGTTTCATATTTTCATACCATCAGCAGAATGATGCACATCCAGATCAATTGTTGCGGTCAGAAAAATGATTAAAAATTTTTAACTGCTTTTATTGATCTTTGTGGAATAGGTTTAAAAAAAAAAACATTTTCTTATTATTTTTTCTTCTTGCATTTCCATAATTTCTACCAGGCATGATGCTAATATAGCATAGGCCATAATGGTGTTCTTTTAGGTTTTGATTAGCTTGCAGTGGTACTTATTAATTATTAATTTAATTAGGGAAATATCCAAATAAGCTCTTGAATTTTACTAAAAAATGAAAATAAATTCATGATCATTTATTGTATGAAATTAAGAGTATAAATTTTTATTTTATTGTAATTAGATCTTAGGCAATAGGAAATATTAAATTTTTTGTTAAAAATCTTTTAGTTTAATGATTTAATTTGTAAAAAATGCTTATTTAGATTTATTTGGATTAACTGAATAACAAATATTTGAAATAATGCTATTTTAAAGATTTTGTCAATTGAACATTAGTCATCCATCTTAAGATTTAATGGATATAATTACAATGAAATAAAAATTTATAATATTAATTTCGTATATTAAAGGTCGCTGGCTTATTTGCATTTTAGAGTAAAATTTGAGGATTTATTTGGGTATTAGGCCATTTAATTACTACTTATAAATTATAATTTAGTTTGGCATTGGGAGGATTTATTTATCCCACATTTCATATCTTTAATTTGTATGAACTTTTGGCAAGAGTTTTCTGATTCATAACCTTTTTCTCTTAGTTGTTCTTATATCAATCCTAGAACTCATTCTAATGTTGTTTAGTCCTCTGTTGCAGTGTAAAAGAAGTTTTAAAAAATTTCTTACTAGTTTTATTGCATTTTCTCAATGCTTCTAATATCTTACAAACTTTATTTCTAGGGTTTTTGCTGTTGGAGTTGCCTAGCTAGTTCCTTAAGGCAACCAACAATGACCTTACAAATCAGTTTTTTTAATCAAAAAGTTCAATGAAAAGGTTAGTTTTCATTTACTAAATTTGAAATTCAAATTGGTAAATTTTGTGGCATGCTGTTTTATCTGTAATCTGTAAAGGTTAGCAAGTGTAAATGCACTAAGAATGAATCATTTCTTCCAACACTAACAAGTGTGTTTATATGTATAGTTTTCAAGTTGTCATGACTTTTTATATATTTTTTGCTGTTAAATTGGACTGCTTCTCCTGCCATGCAAATATGAAAATAGTCTTCAATGTATTATGGAATTTGTAGATGGGGCCTGTTAGTATGGGGGAAGCCCAGGCTTCAGTAAAACCTGATATTAACAATGATGTGATTCCTTACTCAAATATGACAAGAAAAAAAGAAACTCCCTAAATCATTAGAGTAGATTGAAGATGCTTTTCACTAAAAACAAAGTTTAGAGACAAAAAGTCGAGGAAAAGCAGAAACGCTATGAAGAACAAGTCTTCTGATAGCAAAATGGCCAACGATTCGTTAACTGATGGTGATTTTCAAAATAGAAGAAGAATTCTCTGTGAAGAAGCAAAAGTGATTTGGGATTTGGGGAATACGCATATTTCATATACATAAATAGAATACATATGTATTTGTTGTAACAGTTTTGAGATCGTCAGACGTAAAAGAATTTTAAAATCAAGATAAATAAAAGGGGAGTCGCCACCAATCTTTGTTAGGATGTGATTGGCTATCAAAAAGTTTATTTTTTTAATAAAACTATAAAAACGGGTTTAAAGTTTATCAAAAAGATGAATTTTGGTTTACGAAAAACCAGGTTAGGTTCGTGAGTTGGTTACGTGTGGGGAAAGATTAGCACCCCCACAACGCCCATAAATTGGTACCATTTAATTATACGCTATTTTCGGTGTTGGATAAAAATGATTTTAATTTGAAATTTAACACTAATTCTTTTCATTTGGAAAAATAAAATTTTGCTAAAAATTTTATTTAGAAATATTGAGAAAATCTTTAAGTTAAAGAATTATCTTAAAATTCTCCAACGTCTAGCAAGAATTTAAAATAACTCTTTCCGCTTAAGATTTAACACAATAATCCTTAAAAAGAAATAACGATCTTTATAGAAAATAATTGTTAGTGACTCTCCAACATCTAGGCAAAGTACCAAGAATTATTTCTTTCGGAACGTTATTTTTATTTTGTTTTATAATATCACAAAATTCTTTAAAAGTATTATTCTTTTTTTATTATAAAATATTTTATCACCAAGTAGTAAATAAAAATTAAAGACAGAATAGTGCAAATAATTACTGATAATAACATGCTAACGTATGTATGCAAATGAATGTTATGTAGGATGAGATCCAATTTAAAAGTTAGATTCTTAAGTATAACGAGGCCACCCCGACTCTCCAACATCTAGGCAGAACTTAGGTGCAACTGTTTATATTTAAGATCCCAATTTACGGTTATATTTTTTATTTATTAATCTTATTATTAATGCGAATTAAGAAATCATGTGAAAAGACTTAACAAAGTAAAATTTCTTAAATACCCTATCATCTATGCGGCATTCAGAAACAAATTGCTACAAATAAAATTTTCACACGTGTCCTTAGGATTTTTAGGAGGTTTTGAATAAGGGCTTGAATAAATGTTTTGGAGGTTTGGTGCTAAGGTTTAGAGGGTTTTAAATCTTGAATTTTAGGATATGAAAGGTTTAGGGTTTTGATTTTAGAGTTTGAAGATTTTAGAGTTTGGGTTTTGAGGTTTGGGGTTTTGATTTAAGGTTTTGGATTTTAGGGATTTTGGATTTTGGGGTTTGGATTTAAGAGTTTAAAGGTTTGAGATTTTGGATTTTTTGGGGTTTTGGATTTTTAGGGGTTTGGATTTAAGGGATTTTGGATTTTTAGGGGGTTTAGGATTTTAAGGGTTTCGGATTTCAGGGGTTTTAAAAACCTAGGATTTTGAAAATTAAAAATTTGTGTTTAAGGTTTCGTTTTTAAGAAAATACGAACATCTCTAAAAATCTCCAACATCTAGGCGGATTTTCGAAGCAAGTTCGATTCTAATAATTTTTGAAAATTAATAAATAAATTTTTATAAATTTATTTTTTTATGAATTTTATAAATAATAATTCTCCAACATCTAGGCAAAATTATTTTTTAGAAAAATGTTTTTATTTCCTCCAACATCTAGGCAAGAAAAATAATAAAAAAATAATTATTTTTTTAACACTTTTAATATATTTTTTAATTATTACTTGTTTTCAATTTTATTATTGTTAAAATAATTAAACATTTATTCCAACAAATTTAGAAATTTATCATGCAAGAATAAATAAAAAAAAAACTCAAAATAATAAAAATAATAATATAAAAAATTTAGAAAATTCAAAAAAAATTTTTTTTACCTAAACCAGACCCGTCAACCGTCCGATCAACGATCGATTCGGATGGACCGAAAAAAGGTTGGTTCGACTTGCGGTTCAGTCGAACCAACTGAGGAGCGGTTTAGTTCGGTTTGATTGAACCGACTCAAAGCTATTGGAAGAATCGGGTCAGCGGGTCGTTGCGCTAATCCCGGGTCGGGTCATGGGTGCGCGGGGATCCTCCCTGGTCCAGACAAGGTCGTTTTGGTTCTTTGTTCTGAAACGACGTCGTTTTGGACAGCCGAGGCTATATATAAACCAAGTTTTTT